ATTATGTTATATGCCTGAAACTATGTCATTTATATCTCAACTAGTAAGTCAGAGCTCTTTAGTTTGAAATATTAGCATTTGTCTGTTATAAACATTGAAAGTAATTTTTTAACCTCTTGCTTTTTTTAACTACTGTAGTCTATTACATATTAAAATATTTAATATTCATATTAAAATGTAATGCTTTTTAATTTATGTATTCTGATTTCTTAAGAAAGTTCCTAGCAACTGTCTTACTCTCAGTATCTTGAATGGGGAAAGTTGTAACTTCATATCATAAGTGATAATTCCATTATATTAGGGACTTAGGTCACTTTGTCCCATAGTGAAAATGCTTTCAGGTCATAGTCAAATATCTTGACTATGAGTGAGTTTCCCTCACCCCATTCTTCCTATTATTTCCCTCTTAATTCTTACAGAGGAAATTTTTTGAATGCTCAAGACTTTGCATTGAAAACCTTATAGCAGAAAACTTAGAAGGTATATAAGGCAATATCTGAGTATAACATAATATTGACCAGAAATCATTGAGCAGAAATTATTGGTGGTGCAGTGGGTTAAAGCACTCCAAAGCTAGCCACCACTGCTTCAGCAGGAGTTCAATTCTCAGCCAGGGAAGTGACTGACATGGCATGGCAGACCTCTGCTGTCTTGCCTGCTGCTCCCCTCAGCATTCTACTTCCTCAATCTGCCTGTTCTGCTCCCTGCTCTGTCTCTGGTGAGTCCTCTCACAGCCCCTACACCTCTGGCCTGTGCCCTTGTTCTGTATGCATAAATAAATTAATTAAAAATAAAACCAAACCAACCAAACAAAAAAACCTGAAAATGGAAATACTGTATTCCCAGCATTACCACTCTTGGGCACAGTCACAGAATATGGACCCATCAACACAAAGTCTCATGTGTTCTGCAACATTCAAAGGAGTATCACTTTCAATAGCTAGGATATGGAAGCAGCCTAAATGTCTACCAACAGATAACTGGATCAAGAAGATGTGTATGTATATGCCCTGAAGTGTTATTCTATAACCGTAAGAGTGAATAATGTAGCCATTTCAACAAAATGGAGGGAATTTGTGCAGCAAGGTAAGTCAGGATGACAAAAACACTGGACATTTATATAGCAGATAATGTAAAACATGTTCAAAAGCCAATAAATATTCAGAGAGCTCTGAGGCTAAGAGGGGTTTAGTAAGAAAAGGCACAAGGGGACACAGAGGATGGTGATGGGAAAAAATTAGAAAAGGACCACATGCAACAAATAGATTAAAAAGCTGAATGTGTACTTGTCAATCCTCCCCACTGCCCACCAACAGGAAGGCTGCTCAACTTTAAAGCTATGCAATTTCATACAAAAAGTAAATTCAAATATAGCATGATTTTAAACAACCTATGAAGTGTGAAAGAAGAGAATATTTTATCTTACTGCCTGCAATTATAAGTGGCTCATATAACATTGAAGGAAGAGAAAATGCTATTCTTGTATACTGCAGATTCATGGATCTGCTTTGAATATAAGTTCCCAGTTGAGAGTGCGATTTATTGGCTTCTAACTTATAAATTTTAAGATGAAGTATAAATGCCTTCATTAGGGTTACAGACCAGAATGCTAATGTTAAATGTAAGAATCAAGATTGAGCAATCTAGGCAGAAAGAGGGAAGGGAGGGAAAAGGTGGAAAGTTAGTGGTGCAGTCACTTTACATGATAGGAAGTTCAGTTCATAAATTGACTCGAGTTTATTGATTAAGAAATAGAGATATAAGTATATTATTTCAAATTACAGATGTAGTGAATAGAAAAAATATAATGTAACTTATAAGCCATTCAAATTAAATGGTAGAGTAAATAATGTTAGAGATCTAAAGTATCATCTTTTGCAGCTGGGAGTTAGATGTTGTCTAGAGTACTAAATTTAGAAATAGAGAATATAAACATTTTGAATTATGGTTGTAAACACCAGCAAATAAAAACAAAACCTGTTAAGAGCAGTGGTCCCATTAGTTCCCTTATTTCCCTGATAAGTTCCTAATAGGCCCTTCTCCTATCAAAAACATTGATGTTCTTCATTACCTCTGTTTCACATGGCACATACACACCTGAGCTAGTTTATTTACACCAGTGATTTCCACAACTACATGTGGAATTTGAATCATTTCTCTAGCTTGATTGTTCCCTGGTGCAAAATCTGCATGTCCCTTGGCTAGTGGCATTTGAAGTGTTACACATTCGGTGGATTCATCACTCTATACGTTTGTTTTTTTAATGAAATATAATTTATATACCATAAATTTTACCTATTTCAAGTGTAATTCAATGACATCAAATTTACAGAGTTGTGTAACATCTCTACAATCCAATTGTAGAACACTTTTACCACTCTCAAACGATCCCTTATGCACATATGCTGTCATTGCTAATACCCAGTCCTATTCCCAAACAACCATTAGTTTATTCCTGTCTCTCTTGATTCACCTTTTCTAAAATTCCATATGAATGGAATCATACAACATGACATCTTTCTGATTGGCTTCTTTCACTGGGCATATTTTTGAAGTTCATTTATACTATAATGTGCAAGTACTTTATTCCTTTTTTGTTGCTGAATAATTTTCCATTGTATAGCTATCACAAATTTTGTTTATCCATTCATCATTTACTGCTCATTTGAATTGTTTTTAGTTTGGGCACTGTGAGTTTTAGACATTTCATATAGATCTTTGTGTGGACCTGTGTTTCCATTTTTTTTTTTTTAGACACATTCATGTAAATTTATTTTTAGCTTTTCCAGAAATTATCAAGCTATTTTCCATAGAGATTTTATCACTTTACAGTCCTACCAGCATTGCATAAGGACTCTAGGCTCTCCATATTCTTGCCTATACGTATTATTGTCTAATATTTTTAACACAGCTTCTAGTAGATGTGAATATGCAGTTTCCTAGGGGATACTTGAAAATTAGTGTTGATTTTTCTTTCTTTCATACCCTGCTCACCCATTCTGTGGGTGTACCTATTAAATATGTCTTTACTTCTCCCTCTTCCTTATCCTCATTTTCATTTATTTATTTCTCTGCTATTCTTGATTATCAAAATCTCTATTATCTCTATTTTCCACACTGCCATCAAAATGAATTTTCTAAAATACAGATGTGACCATATCACTCCTTTGCTAAAAACTGAAGTGTCCACCTGGCCTTTAAGATAGTTTGCCATCTGAACTCTACTTATTTTACTTTATTTTTTCTTGTTACTCATTTCCCACCACTCCACTATCCCACAAACATGCTGACATACTCACCACATATCCTGGCCTGCAGGATAAAATTAGCTGAATACGTTGGGATTTTCTTTCTTTGTTACATTGAATGGGCTATTACCTCTGAATGTCTGGAATGTTAATCCATCTGTTTTCAAATTCTTACTCACTTTTCATGGCTCAGAACAAGTAATACTTCCTCTTGGAATGACTTCTTTCATTTACTCTGACACTTAAAACTTGCTTTTATATGAGTTAATGCAGTGGCATGCATTGGTGTTTGTGAGAATATATTAAATTGAATTGTATGAAATTGTCATTTTTGTAATCCTAATTATGCTTTATATGAGCCAGCCTAATTTTTTTTTTAAGATTTATTTGTAAACTGTAGTTTTTCTCTTCTCTTTGTTACACACTAATTAAAGTTCCTTTACATTTAAGGTCTTATACACTAGAGTATGTTTTGTCTTGATGTGACAGATCACATTTAGAGTAGGCAGATTTGGGAATTCTGGAGTGTCCCTCACCCTTCCCTGTAATACTTTGATGTGTCTCTTAGTAAGTACATCTTAAATGGATGAAGTCACAAATTATTATCTCTCATATACAGTGTGTCATCATTTTGATTTTGATAGGCAGTACCATCTCCATAATATAAATAAAAAATTGAAAGTTACTGATTTTTCCATTAAAAAAATTTAAATCCAGATCATTTATACAATATATCCAAATGTATGTACTTATAAAGATAGTAAAAATTGCCTTTGAATGTAATAGTGAGAATTGTCGAAGTTTATTATTTCCATAAAAGAAAAATGTACTAGTTTCAGTGTTGCACATCAATCAAATAACAATGTCTGAATTGTGGTTTTGGAAAAGGTAATTTAACCATCTAAATGCTTGACATACTTTAGATAATTACATGAATGTAGAACCCTGTGCTTTCATTTAAACACAATTATAATGTTAGTCAATATTTTCAAATTATGATTTAAATTGTGATATTAAACGTTTAAAATATTTTAAAATCATCTGTTTTTAAAGCTCATCTTTGCTGAATATATATACATAATCTACAGCTTTTCCATTGTTTTCAGGCAGTTATATTGCCATCAGTACTTGTCATGTTAAGTCACTGTAGTCATTTCAAATTGAATGTGGTGTTGTATGTTCTATTATGACTATTACTTTCTTTGCACTTTATAGACTCAAATTCTTCAAGTCATTTATAGGAGTGTTATGTAATTTATAAGGAAAATTCTTTTTTTTTTTTTTTTAAAGATTTATTTTATTTGTACATACAGAACTGGGGTACAGGCCAGAGGTGCAGGGGCGGTGAGAGGCTTCACCAGAGACAGAGTGGGGAGCAGAACAGGCAGATCGACGAAGTACACTGCTGAGGGGAGCAGCGGGCTGGTCAGGAGAGGTCTGCCACGCCATGTGGTCACCTCCAGGGCAGGCGGGAATCGAACTCATGCAGAAGTGGCTTTAGCTTCTCAGTGCAGTGCTTTAACCCGCTGCGCCACCAGGGAGGGCCAGGAAAATTCTTTTTAAAAAGCCTTGTGGTACACTTATCCCTTAGTTCCACATTAATTTTTTTTTCTCCACAAACTTACACAAGAATTATTCAGACATGCAAAGATTCAATGAATTCATTCTCTTTCATAACTTTGAAGACTGGAAAGTGATTTCAGAGCACAACTTAGTGCAACTCCTTTTCTAAAACACATTCTCCAATTGCAGCTTTGAGCACGTGGACTGAAGGGGCGGCTACCTGGCTGCTGCCTGACCTCTGTGCGCACCCCAGTCTTTGTCTCAGGCTCGCCCACACTGCAGTCCTATGAATCAGACTGTCGACTTGTCATCAAATAGAAGGATCCTATGAATCAGACTGTCGACTTGTCATCAAATAGAAGGAAGGCACAGCTACAGTATTCATAAACTTGAAACACTGCATATCCAACAAAATTTCTTGCTTGTATAACTGTAAGTTGTTTTTTGTTTTTTAACTGAGGTAAGCTCTGTCTATTTGGAGAAAGAAACTCATACAAGCCAGTAATTATTTCAGATTACTCTTTCACTCTCTCATGTCTCTCTCTCTCTCTCTCTCTCTCTCCTCTCTCTTTCTCTCCCTCTCCCCTTTCTTGCCTGATAAGAAAGAGTAGTCTTTGGCTTTGGGAGAAGACCTTGATATTACACCTGTGCTAATAGAAAGTTGCTGATTGAAATTTCTGCTACAAAGTCTTTCTGCATAAGTCACAAAAAGTTCCCTTTGTAAAATGAAATGGTGAGCTTGCAATCGTAATGTAAGTATAAATTCTTCACTTCTTCAAATAAATATTTTAACTGCCTTTGTTTCTGTTATAGTAGGTATCTTAACACATAAGCCTATCTTATTAGGTACTTTGCTTTGCCAGAAGCCAGACGGTTTTTAAAAGAAAGGTATATGTAGCTTGTAAATGTTATGTGCAATTAGTAGTAAACTTAAAAGTATTTGTATAAAGGTTTTAAAGATTGTATAGAAACAAATCTTTTAAAGATGAAGATATATGGTATGCTTTTGTCCATTGATAATAAACTTGTAAATAAACTGAACAATGAAAAGCTACTGATTTTATTTTTTTTAAAAAAGTAGATTAGAAATAGGCTTTAAGAAAAAGTCAGTTCAGGTCATTCAATTTAATTTGCTGATGTATCTAGCTTGTCTCCTATGGTATACATTAACAATGATTATTAAAAAAAAATTATTAGACTTTTCTCCATGGACAGATCTAATAGCTTATATTTAGTACATTTATACTGTTGAAGATCCATCTTTTACCTATTCAGTTGTAAAAATTATGTAATAAGTTTCTTTAAAAGCTCTAAACAAATATTTTCTCACTAGCATAGGTGATGTTGCTGTTAAAATATTTGAAATTAAGTGCCCTCAATAAGATAATTTTTCCAAAATTATTAATTTTAGGTGCTGTTTTTCAACCTTAAACTTTTGATCAAGAATGAAACTATTTCAAAGTTAAGATGCCAACAGGTAATTTCTTATAAGTTTATACTTTCATCAATATGTGTAATGGCCATAGAACAAAAAAATAAGTATGTTAGCACAGACCTTATATTTTCCCATCTAGAATTGTTACTGATATTTGAAACATTTTGGTTTTGAAAGATATTCCTTTATAACATGAAACTTTTGTTCTAGACATATATTTTAATGCTTTATATCTAGTAGCTTTCAAATAAATGTGAAGTCAGAATAAAAATAGATTCAAAGAATAGATGAGTATTCTTTACCAATAAACTACTGAGTGTTGAAATATGACTCATTATAATTCAGTTAAAGCCAACAACATTCATTTCAGAACAGGAAGCATTTTATGATGAAGTTACACGTCACCCTAAGGGGAAAACTCTGTGGTGACTCCCATGATTTTGATAGTTGCCACTTGATTAGCTGGATTATTACTAAAAAAATAATAAATACTACTTAATTAAAATAACTGTTTTGTGTATGAGGAGAATAATTGTTTGCATTATCAATAAGGAACAATTGTGAAAGAATTCTGTTTGGTTTACTTTTTTTTTCTACTTAAATTCTCCATAGTTCTGTTTTCCTCTTTATATTTTTATGCTGTTATAGTTATAGTTACAATGTGGTGGTGAAACAGATTCTTCTCAATTCTAAAGTAAAAAGAAAGTTTCAAAATTTCAAATTCTGATGTTGGAGACATTTGACTCAATAGCAACTTCATCTTAATCTTAATAGGTATTGATAGTTCGGTGGCAAGTAGATGCTAAATACATTTTTCAAAAATTAGTATAATTTTTTTTAAATACCAACTTGGAGCAATGCCATTTTCTTCTTCACATAGGATGACCTAGAAAGGTCATTTTCTAGACAGAAACAACCAGGAATCAACAATGTGCAGTTTTAAAACTGTAATTTCCCACTCAAGACTGAAAGATAAGGAATTTGGTAATTTGTTCTTCTAAATACAAACAGTGGGAAATGACTCAACACATTATACTATGATTATTTCTAAATTTTTTTATATATTGGTGTTGGTCACTGTGAGTGAAAGGAAAGGGATTTTTTTTTAAGGTGTTGTGGGAGAAGAGATAGAAACTGGAAGGAAGGAGAAGTACTAAGGGAGACAGGGAAGGCAAAGAAATAAAGATAAAGGGCAGGTAGAGAAGAAATAAGTATGGGTAAAGAGGAGGAAGGAATAGAGTGATGCACTAGTGAATTGGTGGTGGGAATGTTATGGAGAATACACCTGAGAGGAGAAAGCATATATTGTACAAGAATGATATAAAAAATATATAAATAAAATAATTTTTAAAAGAAACAAATGAAGATTTATTTTTCTTAACATTCTAAGTTTTGACTATGTTCTCAGCAGTGGCTTAGGTTTTTAATTTTACTTTAGAACTGTAGATGTGATTTTACAGTTAATAGCTATTAACTCTATCCAAAGCTCCTTAAAGCAAAATCTCATAAGATTATTTTACTTTATGGGTAGAAGGTGTCTCAAAACTGTCATATTTTAGAAGATGGAAATACTAAAGGAAAATTTTGGAGTCAGGATTTGTTTCAACTATCTCAGTCTTTTTCCTGTTACAATTTCAGATTTAATGTACTAGAAAGCTAAAAGGAAAAATAGAATCTTAATACAACTCCTTGGACAGAGAAACTAAGCAAAGCTGCCGAGCTTCTGCACTCCATGAGAAAGTCTACTGATCCTTTGAGACCCTAATCAACTCCTTTTAATCTGATCAATACGGAGATATCCTATTTCTGTCATATAGCTTGTGTATCTATTATTATTCTTGGCCATGTGATTTATGATAGATTAATTTTCTGCCAATGGATAGAAATCCCTCCTTAACAAATAGGAAATAAATTAAGTTCTACATTTTGAGAAGCCACTATTCACTCTAAATTTTAGAATCACTATTTTTGTCTCAAATACTTAGTCCTTTTTTTATTGTTTCATTAGAAAAACTTTAATTTTCCTTTCTTGATTTTATTTACATATGTGTTTTAGATCACGAAGAGCCTTGCGGTCTCAGTCACAGGTCATTTTGCCTGAATGGGGGGATTTGTTATGTGATACCGACTATTCCCAGTCCCTTTTGTAGGTGAGTGGAATGTCCTGGGGGGAGAGGTAATTTGACTACCACCTTCCTGAAGAAGAGATAAATATTGAACAAAATATGTAGGTTTTTAATTTTACTTTAGAACTATAGATAAATGAATATGGGGGAAATGCTTCATTTTACTTAGGACAAGATTATTATTTTATAACAAGAGTAGCAAGTTGCAGTCTTACTCAAAATGTTTATTTTGAAAACTGAAAGTGGTAGTTTCAAAGCTGGTCAGATTTTTTAATATCCATTTTAGTGAACAATCTATGATTTTGGCAATTTAGGAAAGACAGTCTATATTTAATATTACGGGTAAAATAGCTAGAGAACTCACTGATGTAAAGAGGCAAGTAAAGATATTTTGCTTTTGAGTTCACATGATGACTATTGGTACTAAAATTTCCACTTATATTGAAAAGAAAATGAAGAATTCATTTTCTAAAGGCAGGAGCAAATGATCAGTTAAAAGCCAGTGATCAGTTAAAAGACTCGAAAGTAGTACTTAACATAGGTGGCTTCCTGTTAGTGGGATTTAAAAACATAGGTTGAGTAGGGTATAATTACGTAGGTGGCTTCCTGTGACTTTACTTGAGTAGGGTTTATAGTAAACTTATGCCAACTTGCAACATTGTACCACCACTCAGGTACATAGACTTGTACACAGCTAGGTGCTGAAGACCTCAGGACCTTTTTCTAGCAGTTGCATGAATTATTCTGCTTTTGTTTATTAGTGGGTGGGGTTGTGGTCTAATAGCTTAGATTTTTCTTTGTCCTTTCTGCTCAATTTTGCCATGAACCTAAAACTGCTCTCAAAAGTAGTCTCTTAAAAGTGTGGAAAAAAGAGATTTTACTAAATGAAAAGAGAGGAAAGTAAAATTCATCAGAAAGTGAAAAAATACTAGAACTTAGTATGGATTTGGAAAGGCAAAGAAATAATATATTTATCTCAAGAAATTTTTTGAGGGCTTATATAGGGAATTGTGATTAGGTGTATTTTTCTCAAGTAAAAAGGGAGAGAAGGAACAGAGTAATTATTTTGCACATACTAGCTAGCTCTGTATTATTCCTTTTTTATTCTATTTACTGAAATATTACTTAAGTAGAATATGCTCTTTACATTCTTTAAAGTGCATTTTCATAAATGTCTATATCTATGAAACTACCACCACAAGATCCAAAACATTACTCCCAGAATTTCTTTGCTGATCATTTCATTATTTATATTTTCATATTGCATTATCACAACAGTCGTAAAGAAAAGACGGAAAGGACTACCAAGAAAAATGAGGTGGAAATGAGATATTAGTGACTTGCCAACGGTCATTCAACCAGGAGTTAATTAAATAAATGACCTTGAAGTATAACTCTGAAAGTCCATTTAATCTTAAGATATATTCGTTCTGAGTCCTTTCTATGGGGATATGACAGATAACACTATAAAAATAAAAATGCTTATCAGAACAAATACATTTAATAATTAAAAGATATTAATATTTTGTGTCTTGACCTTGATGGTGGCTTCTAGGGTAAAGAGTCTGTCCTTTCACCACAGAATTGTCTTTACACCTTGGTCAAAAATAGGTTGACCACTTTTTTGTGGGTTGTCTTTGGGAGTATTCTATCTCATTGATCTATGTTTCTATCTTTTCACCAATACTAAACAGGCTTGACAGCCATAGCTTTATAATAAGTGAAGCCAGGTAATGTGAGTCCTTGACTTCATTCTTCAGCTTCTTGATTTTTAGC